ACAATGTAACCCTTTTTAAATAGTAGGATTAGACCCTTGGGAAAATATAGCATAAAAATGCATGAAAAGCATTTATTTGAGTGCTTCCTATGTGCCTGGCACTACTTTAAGGATCAAGGATCCAAATATTAAAAAGAAAAGATAGTCTGTGACCTGAAGGATCTTACATTCTAATATAAGATAACAAATATAAATAAGTAATGAGAAGGGAGGAGTGTTTTGTTCTGATGAGGTAGAAAAGGTAGTGGCAGGCAGATGGTGAGATGGCTTGGCTGGACTGGATGTGAAGGTAAAGTGCAGTCTGCTCTCTAGAGTCAATCAGCAGATGGATTAAGCTAAGTAGGCTTGTTACCAATTGACTCAAACGTAAGAGCTCCAAAGATAAGTGGATTGGCATCCCCTGGGGACCTGGGCCTAGGGAATATACCACTAATGAAACAATTAAGTGGTACAGTGGATAGAGCACTGGGCCTCCATTCAAGAAGATGTGAGTTCAAATCTGGCCTCAGGCACTTGGTAGCTGGATGACCCTGGGCAAGTCAGTTAACCTCTATTTGCCTCAGTTTCCTCAACTGCAAAATGAGAATAACAGTACCTGCCTCGCAGGGTTGCTGTGAGGATCAAATGAGATAATATTTGTAAAGTGCTTACTATAGTGCCCAGCACACAGTAGGCATTATATAAATGCTTATTCCCTCCCCTTCCCTTCTCCAGTAAACACAATTGGCCTGAAGTTTTTCAATGGCCAACCTGAAAGGGTTTCATTTACTTAAAAAAAATTAAAAAAACACTAAACAGGAACAAGGCAAAGAAAACTAACCAATGGAAAATGTCAATCCATCAATCAGTAATAACAAAACCTATAATGTGCTTGGCACTATGCTAAGGGGTCAAGAGTATAAAAGTATATGATGGGGGGGTGGTGGTGGTGGTGGTATAAAAATATATAGCCTGGTCCTTGCCCTCAAATATATCTTCAAACTTAACCATGAGTGAAGCTGGTCTCTTCACTGTTCTTCAAATAAGTATTGCTCATTTTGCCTCTTTGCTTTTTCCCATGTTACTTCCCTTTGCTGGAATGCAACACTTCCCATACTTGTCTATATTTATCAAGTCATATCTATCAAAGCTCCATTAATGTTCCCCACTTTTATGAAACTTCCATTTACTGCTTACACTAATTTCTTCTTTCTTTGAAGTTCTACACTATTTTAAATAACACTCATTTTGCTACTTAATAATATATCCACAGTCAGATATTCAAATGTTATGTTTCACATGTACATGTCTTATCTTTCCAGTCACAGTGAACTTCTTAATGGAGAGAACCGTGCCTTATTTTTCTTTTGTAGCCCCCAAAGGCTTTCAGCAAACACTCATCAAATGAAGCTGAAAAACTATTCAAATGTTCAGTTAAGAGTCAGAAACTACTTCATGGTATTTTTTGGATGAATTAAGTTCCACTCTGGAAAGTTAAGCACTAGCATTGCTGATTACGATCAGCTAGGCCTCAGCCTTGGATCACTTCCACCATTTGTTGCCTTTGCTCCTACAGCTGTGTGGCTGAATGAAAGTGGAGAAAATTACACAACCATTCTGACGGGATCCAGTACAAATTTATATTGCACAACCTCAACTGGGCCCTCACTGCTGCTTGGCAATTCTACTCCTCCTCCCTTATCAACTCACTATCCCACTCTCCACAATGGCTCTTCCAAATCTTTTCATCCCTCTCAAAACCTCCCATTGCTTCCCCTTCCCCAGCCCCTCAGATGAGAATTTTGCCTTATATTTTATAGAACAAATTGAGGCCATTCGCCAGGACTTCCCTCTTCCTCATCATCTCTTATCATTGCCTTCTGCCACTATTCCTTCCTTCATGAAGTAGCACTACTCCTTACCAAGGCTAAACAATCCCATTTGTTACCCCTACAACAGATTTCCTGCTCTGTCATTCCTATTCTTTCCCTTTTTTGTTTTTAATTAATATTTTATTTTCCTAATTACATATAAAAATAATTAACATTTTTTTTTCAAATTTTGAGTTTCAAATTCTCTCCCTTCTTCCCCTCCCCCCTCATTGAAAAGGCAAGCAATTTGACATAGGTTATACATGTGAAGTCATGCAAAACACATTTCCATGTAAGTCATTCTGTCTTTCACTTATTTTCAATCTCTCCCTGTCTACTGGTTCACTCCCTTCTGCCTATAAACATGTCCATGTTTCCTCTATCCTGAAAAAACCCACACTTGATCCTTCCATCCCTCTGCCCTTTGTAGTTAAACTCCTCAAAAAGGCTGTCAACAAAAGGTGCCTCCACTTGTTGATTGAGTGATTACACTCCTAGGCACATGCCATAAGGAGGACAAATTATATACCAAATTATTCCTGGCAACAAAGAACTGGAAATAAAGTGAAAGGCCATTGACTAGAGAATAGCTGAGTAAACTGTGCTATATGAATATAATGAAATATTGTAGAGTAAGAAATGCTAAATATGAGGGATTTGGATAAACAAGAGAAGATGTATGCATAATCTAGTACAAAGTGGAACTAGTAAAAAAATATACACAATGACTACAACAGAGTAAATGAAAAGAAGACCAAAAGGAAGACAAATTCCACTTAACTAAAAACTAGGAAAAGTTCCGAAGTAGCGATAGCAAAATATAACCCTACCTCTTGGCAGAGTCAGGCAACTATGGGGACAAAGTGCTACCTACATTGTCAGATATCGTCACCATGCTGGTTGTTTTTGCTTAACTATTTTTAATTGCTATAAAAGAGAATTCAGTTCTGATATGAGTGTGTATCTCCATGTGAAATGACTGTGATATAAAAATAAAAGGCATCAATTTATTTTAAAATAAACATCATTACATAGTGGTTGGATTCTAAAGTTAATTCATGTGATGTAAATAATGAGTAATTGAAATTACCTTTGAAAACCCCTTAAATTACAAATAAAATATAATATCTTTAAAGAGTTCTAGCTAGGAAGGGATTAGTGTTTCTTTAAAAGACGGCAGTCTATATCAGAGTGCATGGGGAACTCAAATGGTTGCCACAGTAAAAACTGAATGTAAATTACAGTTTTTAAATACCCAGCTAAAGTTATTGAACAGGAGATGCAGAAAGTAAGACTTCTACTAAAATAGTATAAAATAAAAACCGATAAAGACTTAGTTGGCCAGAAAACTGTTGATGAAGGAAAACAATACTATTAAAAGGCTCTCATATATAAGTGTGATTACATTAAAGCAGGGGTTCTTATCTTTTTTTGTGTTGGACCCCTCTGGCAGTCTAGTAAAGGTGATGTACCCCTTCTCAGAATAATGTTTTTAAGTGCATAAAATAAAATACATTGGATTACAAGAGGAACTAATTATATTGAAATAAACCTGTAATTTTTTTTCCATCTAAGTTCATGGACTCCCTGAAATCTATCCATGGAGAGTTTCATAGATCTGAGGTCATGAACTTGTACCTTAGTAGTATGATCATATCACTATATAACTATTCCTTCCTCCTGCTTCACCATGAAGCAATAGAGGACACAAGGAAGCCAAAGAGATAAAAGCAAGGCCTCCTAGCTAACCAGGAATGCTAGGAAGCCAAATTAAGGTTTGCCATTCTCATCAACTCTACTTTTCTAATCACAATGAATGACAAAGAGGAGATTCTGGAATCTTACTTGGGCTAAAAACGTGGAGGCAGCAGAATGAAAAAGATCAAGAAAAGTTTCAGGGAGGAGGTAGTATATGCACTGAGCCAGAAGGCTATTCTGTAGAGAAGGGAAATCATATACAGTGGCATTGATGTGGGAAAGCACTAGAATTATTCAGGCAACAGTGATTAGTTCATTTCATCTGCAGCAAAGATTATATGATAGGAGAAAAGGTTGTAACCAGATATTTAGGAGTTTTGAATAACAGGCTAAGGACTTTGGATTTCAAGTTGGTAAAGTGATGGATATCTACTCCAAGTTTCTTAAGGTGACATGATCAAACCTTAAGAAAGTAAATCTGGCAACTAGGTATTGGATATGATTACAGAAAGAAGAGACTGTAGACAAGGAAACCAGTTAGGCTGAAACAACAAGTAATAAGGGTTTGAATTGGATTAGTGACAAAAGGAATGAATATGAGAATCCTGACTTTATCACTATATTCATAGCACAATATAGTAGTTGTTCACAAATTATATCCCTGAAGCATCAAGAAAAAGTTAAATTAAGTTTTGTATATTCTTTTTACTAAGGCAGAAAAGTATGCATTAGATTTTTAAAAATATTAAATAACAGTGTAAGAGAAAAGCTGAGGAATTTAAAGAAATAATCCTTAGTTGTCTAGGAAGTCAGACCACATTTCCAGATTACACTGGATAATTATCATTACCGTTAATAAAATGAAAAAAGCATTTTCATATTATTACAGAAACATAATATATTCTAGCCAAACTAAACTACATATCCGTATTATCCTACCCCTTCCCTACTACCAGATCTGTCTTTTTTAATATACACCACATCAATCAAGTATTTATTAAACACTTACTATATGATATTATATATGTGTGTCTTTGATCATGTTGTCTCTCATATTAAAACATACTCCCTTCCCAACTCCACCTATCTTCCTTTAGATCCAGGTGTCATATTCTCCATGAAGCTTTCCCTCAAACTCCCAGCTGAAAATGAATTCAATTTCTCACAGTACTGTGAGCAGACTTCTCCCTTACACTTAATCATATTTTGCCTTACATTAGTCACTTGTATATATGTCTTATTGAAGACAGGGTATACATCTTATTCTGTCTTTATGTCCTCAACATAAACATAGTATCCTTTACGTAGAAGGTACTTAATATTTGACAAATAGTATTTATACTGTTTATCTCAAATTTATGACTCTTTACAAGTTCTACCACTTAAAATTAAAAAGCAGAATCACCATAAAACGTTCACCCATTAAGAATATGTCTTGTTATCCTTACTTACAGGTAGGAAGATCATCAGCTTTTGCAAGGTCATTCTCTTCTATTCCAGGCATGCCTGCATCACCAGCTCGTTTAATTTGTTCTGTCCAAGAAATGACAAAAATATATTTTTGTATTTTTCCCAAGTAAATTGAAAATATATGAGGGGAAAGTAATATTTTCCATCCAATGAACAATTTTCATCCACTTTCTGATACTCTTTGTCAATGACTTGGTATTCTGTATCATCACTTCCTGAAACGAGAAAAGTTCTAAATCCTAAATCCATTTACTTTTCCCCATCTTTTTACCAAAGGAATATTTAATTATTTACATCTTGGGGGGAGGGGAAGGATACGACTTTGACACAATACTGAAAACTTTACAGGCAGAGTGGCATACTGGACAGAATATAGCCATGAAGTCAGAACCATCGGGGTCCAAGTTCTACCCCTGACATAAATTAGCTGTATCACCACTGGTAACATATATGTGTATCTATATATGTGCACGTGCTATATAAAAATACATGTGTATGTGTATGTATATACGTGCATGTACAATATTTATCTATACCCCCTGCACATATACCTACATATATATATATACATATATACACACGCACAAACATATATGAAACTGATCACCTGAAACTGATCTGAGATAAACTAACTTTATAAATCTGAAGGGAAGATTTACAAACAGGAAGAAAAAAACACACAATTAATATATTTTTAAAATACCTTTCCCATGTGCAACATGATTGCTTGAGGGTTTCTCATTCTTATCTGCAGCATTCTCAGCTTCACTTGGAATATTTTTGGGTACTTCCTGATCTTTTGCATCCAGTTCAATTACATTATTCTGCTGAGTCTTTAGGGCCTCTTGCTGTTGAAAAACACAGATTTGGCAATAGGAAATATTTTTCAATTCAAAATATTACATACTTGTATACTTCTTATATGTCCAGAAACAATTAACCTTCCATATATCTATATCTATATCTATATATCTATATCTATATAAAATGTATGTCTATGTGTGGATAAATACATACACATACATATGTATATATATGTCAACTTTTTAACCCTATGTATAATAAAGTGTTACATAGGATATATTGTTTTATTATTGAATGGGATAGAGAATCAGAAAAGCTATGTTCAAATCCTGGCTATGACATCTGTATGACGCAGACAAATCACTGATCTATTTAGCCTGTTTCCTCATCTGTAAAATGTGTATGTTGTTGGGCATGTAGGGGCAGGGTGAGGAGAGAAATAATACTTAAACTACTTTCTGCTCAGGACTGTGAGGAAAATGTTCTATAAACTTTAGAGCACTACATAAAAGTGAATTATTATTGTTTAGTAATAGGAAATCACAAAAGTATAACAAAATTACATTTTAAAGCCTCCAATTACAGTAAATGGCCTAAAATGTTAGACTTAACCTAACTATTCTATTAAATATGTTATTGAGAAAAATATATTTACTTAAATAGCTATTTTTGTAAAACAAAAATTGTATACATGTCCCATTATTGGAACCAAAAAGTAATGGGAAGAGAAATGTTCTCTGCCACTGTTAATAGAAGCTAGAACAATGAGCACAAATGTTCACCTACCATTACTATCTATATTACCACCATGTTGTGTTTTTGACAATAATATCTATCATTTCCCAGCAAATTCTAACCTTGCATATATGTATATTTAGAGAGAGAGAGAGAGAGATGTATATGCACATACACATACATATATACACTGGGTATCTCAAAAGTCTCATTGCAGTTTTATGCTGTTTTAAGTTTTAAGAGTTAAAAAGTAACTTTGTTACTTTGTGATTTCCTATTACAATGCAATTTAAAATTGCACTAGGACTTTTGGGACATGCTATGTATATGTATCTCCTTTCCTTATCTATATCTATAGATATCAGTACCTAGAGATAGTATACATTAAGTTACAAAACATTTTCAGACAGAATACTTAGCCTGGATTATAACTGTTACACTTCTCATAATGGAATTACACATTTTTTGAAGAGCTTTCTTTTTCTTTCATCATCTTCTCAAATAGGTTTAAACATAGAGAGCAATCAGAATATTAATAATTTTCCTTACAGGAGGCAAAATTATGTTTATTCTAATAAAAGGATGCCACCTTTTATGCTGAATGAACAGAACAAGATAACTCAAAATCCTTTTGCCATATAGAGGATGATTTTATGGCATCAGAATTTCAGATAAGGTTGACACTGTGTCACTCTAAAGAGCAGCTTGACAAGTTTTGTAGTTTGTTTCCACAAAGTAAATTTACTATAGGTAGGAACACATATATATATGTATATATGTGTGTGTGTGTGTGTATATATATATAAATTATTATTATAAAGTCTAATTCCATATAATGAGACCATTCCTAAGTTCCAGTTTTCTACTCCTAAAAACCTATCCACTGCTTTCCTAATGAAGACATATAATAAATTCCATTCAATTTTTTCTAGTCAAAAAAATCAAAAGCAAATAGACACTAACAATCAGTATTAACAAAGATCTTCCCTAAATTCAAGAACAATTCTGATGCCTCACTGTGACATGGTCAGGACCTGGATTATGCTAACAGAGCACAATCTCTGGCGGGTTACACCAAGCTGGAAAGGCTTTGGGTGGGGTACCATATCAGCTAACATGAGGGAGGTTTATCAACAGGCTGACTACAGGAAGATGAAGTTTTTGGTCACAGTAACTCTTACAACTTGTCAACCAGGCCACAGGAGAAGAACTGGGATCTGCACAGGTGGAAGGAATACTCGTACCCTAATAAAATCACAGATTAGTTATTAATAAAAAGTCTCATTACCACAGGATTGGTGCTTAATATTTTTGGTTACAGAAACTCATGAAATTGTCTACCAAGTCATGGAAGGTATTGGATCTACAATGATGGAGTAAAATCATACACCAATGGAAATCAAATCCTTGTAGTATTGTAAAAAAAATATTAACTATCAAAGTATATATTAGTCTTCAGGTAACATATTTATGTATGATACTGGTGTCAGAATATAAAATATTAAACATTCTCAATAAATTTAACATTCCCTTTCCCCCACTCCCTGCCCCAATACTGCACTGGTAACTGTGAAGGGGATGGAGAGGAAAGAGAGCTTATTTATTTCTAAGCATCCTTTCCTGGGGAATCAGGAATTGCTGGTGACTATAATGAATCTTTAAAATGAAAAGGATGGACTAGATGACCTCTAAGATCGCTTTCATATTTAAAATTCTATGATTCTCATTTGCTATCATGAGATTAGATTATTATCTTGACAAAGATTCAATGTCAAGGTAGGATACTTTTGCACTAGGTGGAAAGAAAGGGTTTTAATATGATAAATTGTCTGTTCCCTGCAAAAGCCTCCAAAAATGCTTGGTATTGGAGGTCAAGCTCTAAAGGTGAACAATTGTGCAAAAAAATATCCTGGTACCCATGATTTTGCTGTATTCAGCTAATGTTGAGCCAAATCCATCATTCAAACAACATGCAATTCAACAAGCATTTATTAAGCAATTTACTATGTGTAAGACATTAATTGAAGGCACTGGGACACCTCAATGAACAAGTAAAGAATGGAAGAGAGGAGGGGAAGCTTTTCAAATGCCTGATCCCTAACCCTAACCCCACCACCCTCTTTCCCCAAAATAACAAAAACTGCTTCTAGTAATTTTGGCTTAATTCTATGTCTGATGATTATTAAATACTGAATTGTTGCTTAAATTTTTTTAAAAATTGGCTCAAATTCAGTAGAAAATTATTCAATATATAATCTGGCAAATATATCAAAGAAAAATATTTTTAAAAACTAATAAGGAAATTTAAGCTAACAGTGAATTTTAAAACCTTTAGACAACTGTAGTCATGTAAACATTCAATCTACCTGGCAATTTAAGGTGTCACTATAAAATTGATGTCTGAATTTCCCACGTTTTAAACAAAATATTTCAGTAAGAGAAAATACTTAGAAATGATTTACCTTTTGTTCTTGCAAAAACTGATCTGCTAACTTTTTTATATTTTCTTCATGCTGTGCTCTTAGTTCCTTGATCTGTTGCCCACACTGAAAACTAAAATGGAAACAATCATTCTTTCTTGTTACACTGACTTCCTCTCCAAGTTGCTTAGAAGTGGGCACACATTTGAAAAGGTGTGTATGGTTCAGTATGGGAATAGAAATGCAGAAAGCTAGTAGTCAGTAAGAAAAGTATCAGTTAACAAGTGACCAATAGAGCAGACTTTAGAAAGAGTGAAGTGTTCAGTATCTATTATTATTTTTGAACTGCACACAATTTCTACAACTAGCTTCATTAACAAGAGAGAAAAAGATGGTAGCAAAAGAGACAAAATTACTACCACGATGAACCAGGAAAGGATGAGAACCACTAGCAAAAGGTTTAATAAGGGTTTTCAGGAGGTATTTGTCTGAGAGTTAGTACATGCTTTAATTTTTAGCAAGCCTGGTAATCTGGGAAAGGAAAAGAAAAAACTTCAAATCTAAACAGAAGAATGGAGACAGGAGGAAGAATGAGGAAGAAGAATGACCAGGGGATAACATGAAGGGAAAATGAAATTGCTTTTACAGTAGCCTATCACCTACTGAGGAAATTCTTGCTTGTGTGGATTGGAGTCTAGGCTACGTAGGTGTATATGTAGGCATATGTAAAGGCAAGAAGTCACGAGGCAGGAGTATAACAAGGTGATTTTATTCTACTTTGCCCTCAACCAGTGCTTTCCCCTTCTCTTATTACCTTACAGGTTAGTTTTATGTACTAGCTTCCCTTTCAAAAGGGCATTTTTCCTTTTTTGTCTTTACCTTTGGTCCTCCACGAGGTCCTATTCCAATGCCTCATCTTGGCACAGGGATGACCCTGGGCTCTCCAAGGCTTTGCCAGTGGAATGCAAGCACTAATAGTTTCTACAACAGTGTAAAAGCTATTAGTATGGTAGTGACAGCTGACTCTTTGCTTTCTGAGGACCAACCTATCTAAACCTACATCCTTATTACCTGAGGGCTTAGTGATGAATTCCTGGGTCATGACAACCCACGAAATAAAGAAAAACACAAAATGGCCTGCATGGCACTCTTCTATTTCTGAAATGATAGTGACAAAGTAGCAAAAAGGGTGACAGAGGATTTAATTGTCCAAAAATATTAATTTAACTGTTGTTACTATAAAATGTGAGATCCTTGTCTAGTGACTAACACATGAATATGTTATCAGAGGAAATGAAACATACCAATCTTGATATTCTTACTAGAAGTAAAACTAATACTAATCAATCAATCAATTTGTTAAGTACGTTTGTTAAACACCTACTATATACCAAGGACTGAGTTAGTTGCTGGAGATGAAAATGAAGCAGTTCCTGTTCTCAAGAAACTTAAAACTAGGAGATAAAAGGAACTACAACTAAATGGGAAAAAAAATGGCTCTCCTTGGAAAGATGAGTCAGTAAAGTGGGTTTTATCTTATACTCAAGGGCAACAGGAACCATCATTTCATGGGACATTTGATCACCTTGTATTACAATGTTCACAATGAGCATTTGCAAAAAGATTACAAAAATAATTGCAACTTACGTGCCAACATCTCCTTCGGAGAATGAGGAAGAAGAGAAATTCTCTAAGAATTAGATAAAAACTTCCAAATTTAATCAACAAATACTTTAATACAAAAGTGTGTACTGAGGAGGACAGTGAAAAATTTGTTGAAAAGATGTTCATGAGTAAATAAGGGAGGCTACAGGCTCATAAAAGTGTACAAAAGTTCCATACCCTTATGTCACGAATACATTTTTCAAACAAAGTCAGGAGTCACTGAACAAGGGAAATGACAAATAATACCACAAAAAGAAAAGTTTATTGTATTCTGATAGACAGGATATGATTGGTTACTGATATGGGAGGCACTTCTGAATCAGCTGTCTATGTATAGTCAGACAGTGGACTTGTTAGGGCAAAGTTAAAAATCAATACCTAATTAGAAGAATAAAAATGAGAAGACATAGTATATAAGTGAAGCAACTCCAACTTGGTCCATTTAATCAAATTATGAATACCAGAAAATAGGAAATAAATTTTAAAAACCAAATAGGCATCAACACAGGCTATCATTACTTCCTAAAGAAGTTTAACTGTTATAAATCAACTCTCCCAAAAGGAGATCAGAAGAGACTAAAACTACCCTAGCCAGCACAAAATCCATCTACTTGAAACTCAGAGTAATATGTCAGCCAAGGGCAACCTGGCTCATTTGTAACATCTTATGGGAGAAGATGGTGGAAGATTATGAACGGTATCTTCCAATAAAACCGCAAGGAACAGTGGAAGAAACAAAAGTTTGCAGAAAGCTTGGCAAGAGACCCAAGTATGTCAGATCATCTCAGGAGCATCTATGAATGAAACTGGAAAGAAGGCAACAAATAGACAAAAATTGGAAAAATCATTAAAAAAATTTTAAAATAATTTCCTTCATCAATGACAAGAAAGTTATCATATTTGTGCATTAATGTTACATTCCTGGTATACTAAAATAAGGAAACACTTATATGGTCCTAGTTTTTTCTGTTCTCTCTTAATGCTAGAGCCTTTCCTGGGTTGGTTATCTACAATTCCCATCTGTTTATATATAGTTGTTTGCATATTGTCTCCTCCAGATACGGTAAATTCCTTGGGAGTAGTTAACTGTCTTTTGTCTTTCTTTGTATCTCCAGGACTTAGATTATTGTCTGTCATTTTAAAGAGCCAGTAAACACTTTAAAAATACTTAGGGACTAAAGATGGAAAGAATAGCTAGATTAAATCAAGTATACACAAAGGAGATCTATGCTGGAGGCAACACAAACTTGAAGTTGTAGAAGAATCAATTCTCAAGCTATCTGAAAGAGGCAAGGATGCTAAACACTTGGGAAAAAAAATACATAATTTTATTATCTTCACAGAAAGGTGACTGATAAAATATCAATAACTGTCTTCCATATATGTCTACATTCTCTTTTATACAACATTATTATGAAATTAATTCACACAAGGCATCCTGAGACAAATGTATGAAAAGGGACTAGAGAGTCTTCTATAAATGACATTATATAGCAAACCACATCTTTATAGTCACACAAATGACTGAAAGGTGTAGAAAATATAAGATCCCACTATAAATGCTGTCTTCCAAAAAGGTCTCTCATCCATATATCAAAATCATACAATATTCCCTGGAAGTTGTAACACCAAAAATATCTTTGTCTAACAACACTACTGTTATTAAATCAAGAAAGATATAAAATAAGACAAATATATTTTCTCCAGAAGTATATATCACTGTCATGGAAGATGTCCAATATATAGTACAAGTGGAATTGAGGTCCTCTATATACTTCTATTTGCAGATGGCACTGTACTAATTGCATCAAGCCCTGGAATATAAATAGCTTTTAAATGGGATTTAGAACCATTAAAAAGAGCTTAATCTAACTATCCACAGAGGAAAAACTAAGTGAATAAAAGATTTCTATTGTCCACACTATAATATGCAGCTGGAGAGACAGCCTATAGAGTTACAAAATCTGTGTGTATATGTGTATATGTAAGTATACATATATACATATATATACATGTATATATAAATAATATGAATAGATATGGGAAACTGTGGCTTTCGCTTATGAAATTATATTGTATCTGATGAATTAAAGTTGCAAGTCACTCAAAGGTCAATGGAAAGGTACACGGTAGATGTGAGTAGTCTGGAGCTCAAAATCAATGAAGATCTGTGTAGATGAAGTAGTATAAAGGATATCATCAGAGAGATAAATGGTTGAAAAAGAAGTGGCTTGGTCATGTAATGAGAGTGAGGGATAGCTAATTGACAGCCTACAGGCTCCAATAATAACTATGTGATATCACAAATTCTACAAAAGGGCTTCTAACACCCTGTAGGAGATTTAAAGGAAGATATGAATGAGTCATGCTGGATGACTCTCGTGGTTGGATTGATATCTGCACCACTGAAGGAAATACTCATATTTCGGAGATCACTGATCCAAAAGTAAATTTTTACTAACTCCTATTTGTTAGGTTTGCTAATGGGTTTTTCTGACACATAAAGATATACATGCTGTCTTTTCTGAAGGATTTAGCATCTAAAGGAGTCTGTTAAAATTTCTAGGCCTGTGTAATACAAGTTATTAAGACAGACAGATAGATCATAGATTCTATGGGCGAAGTAAGAGGAACTACTCTGATTTCCAATGTGCTAAAATGGAAATGTGTCAAATATGGATTCCAAAAGGACAAACAAAGCCAATGAACAGAGAGATCTGAAGGCTGAAATAGGTAGAGAAGTAGCAGAAAGAGGAGAATAGAAACTAAAAAGGGGAGTATATTTAGGTTTCTAAATTAAGAAATATGGATAAATACTTCTGACCTTCTTACCTTTCATACTCTAATCTCTTCCCAAAGTAAGTATTGTTTTTCTTGTAATCGTGAAGTTGATCCTCTTGTCGAAGGAATTCTTGACGAAGCTCAGCAAGTTGTTCTAACCCAAAAATAAATAAATAATAAAAGGAAAGTTCACTTTCTCTGATCCTTCCTACTAAAAAATTCAACTAAGTTGTAGCAGGCTTTCAAAATAAAATTACTGCACATTTCCCAATTAATCTATCCATAATCTTAAGGGTGATAAATAATATCATTTGCATAGTACTTTGATTCTTATATGTAAATGGATAACGAAATTTATTTTAAATTTGTGTAGCTTAGCAGTGTTTACTCATACCAAAAGTAATGAAGTCATATCTTCTTCTCATACTATGTAGACTAAAGATGAAAGTGAAAGTATAGTACAAATAGTTCTACCTTCTTCACAAATTCAATAATCTGTGATTTCATCAGTAGCTAAGTGGAATAGTAGAGATTATAAGACCAGGAGTCTGAAAGACACGAGTTCAAATCCTACCACATACATTACTAGTTGTATAATCCTGGACATGTCATTTAACCTCTTTCTGAATCATTTTGCTCTTTTGTACAATCAGGATAACAATAGCGTCAATCTCATAGGGTTGTTGTAATTATCCAGTGAGGTAACATATAACATATATAAAATGCTATAAATGTTAGCTATTGTTTTCAATATTATTATTATCATGGATACTCCCCCTCCATTCATCCTCTATATCTCGGTTGATTGCCTTTGAGAGCTATGGAGTCATAAAAAAACCTCATTATGGTGCAGCTAACCTACTCCCTCTTCTACAGAACTCCTATCTATCCTTTAAATCTCAATTCAAATGCCACCTCTTCTAAAAAGACTTCCATCATGTAGCTAATTAGTAATGGCCTCCTTTGAACCTCACAAGGCACTTTATTTTGCATATCTCTAATTCACTTATCCCATATGGATTATAGTTATTTTTGTTTGTGCCTTTACCGTCAGCACATTATAAACTCCACTAGGGCAGTACATATTTTATCTAAACTCTCCATCTTCCCCTAGTGCCTAGGTATAGTGAGCTCTGCACAGAGAAGGCAATTAAATGTTTGTGATTTAATTTATTCATAGAAACAGTATGATCTAACAGTATAAACCATCTTAAACAACCTACTTTGCTCACTACTGTTATGGGCATTGTTCCCCTGGTCTCCTGATAAAGGAATTTAAGTACAGTGTGGAAAAAGAGTAATTATCTCTATTATTTTATCAGACGATATATGATAGCAACAAAAAAACAAGAGAAAAATCCCTTACATTTTTCCTCAGATTGTAAAAAGACAACCATGTTCCATGAATAAACTATGACCAGTGGACATACATGCCTAACATTGAGACTTTTGTTTGTGAATTAAAGAACTTTCTTTACTTTAAAGTTGCATCTTACATAGGTATAAAGCTAACAACAAACTCAAAATTAAACAACAAATTTAATCAGGCATACTTGTCATGGTATTATCTGCTAACAAAACATAAATGAGAATGTGATGGTTCACATAAAATAACTAATTAGGATAAGGATAATTTTTACACAGCAATAACTAAACTTAAGCTTTTTCTCTTTCCAGTTTTATTTTCAGGTATCTCTAATCAGATCATTTTTGTGATTGTTTGCTTTTTAAATTATATTTAATTTTTTTTCAATCAGCAAAAATCTATCTTTTTCTCTCACATTACAACCTCACCTTTCCTGTTGAGAACAAAAGAAAAACAAAACCCTTTTTGCAAACACATACAGTCAAGCAAAACAAATTTATGCATTGGCCAAGTCCAAAAAAAAAATTCATGTCTCCTGGATTCTTTCACTTCTCTATCATGAGAAAGGTAGCATGTTTCAGCATCAATACTCTGGAATCGTGGTTGATTATTGCATTCATCAGAATTCCTAATTCTTATAAAGCTGTTTGTCTTAACCATATGGTTGTCATTGTATGGTTATCAGCCTCTCCCTTGCACTGAAGTGCTATGTACAGTGTACTCCCAGCCAAAATCCTTCCCCAGTGTCTACAGACTTCTTTTTCTGTTTTCCTATGGTGACCTGGACTGGAAAAATAACTCACTATAATTTTTTAAAATTTCTCCATCAGGATTAAGTGCATTTTTGGAGTCTGTTTGGAGGACTTTTGGGGTAGGGGCAGAGAGAGCTGTATTGCTTCCTGCTACTTTACCATATTGGCTCCTATATAATATTGTCAGTTTTAATATATCAACAGTCTCTCATCACACAGATATTTACAAATTCATAATCCCTTATTTTAAGTTCCAAATTCTCTCCCTCCCTTTTTCCCACCTACTGAGAAGGCAAGAAAAAGAAAATTTATGGAGAAAGATCCACACTTCAAAAGCTCCTTAGGAGCTAAGCCAAAGAGGTTCACTTCCAGTGAATTAAATGCTTACGACTAATCACCACCTTTTCAAATGTCATTTACTAGTTGTTTTCATAGGAGAGTTTAGTGGAGGAAAAAAAAAACTCTTGGAAATAGAATGAAATCCCATGGAGAATCATATTTGGATAGAGCAAACTGAACTAAGATGGGAGAATTGTAAACATGTGGCTTTCCAACATACCCCTGAAAAGGAACTACCTGAGAAGGAAAGAGAGGCCTCAGCTTTGGCTTTTGGCCAGATTTTTGTCCCTTCTCTCCTCCCCATCTTCCAATTGCCACACTTCCAGAGAGAAGGTTTGGGATAGTCTTGTTGCTACCTTCTGAGGCACTGGGTGTTCTGTTACTCTAAGATCTCAGAGACATCCTGGGGACCTACAAGCTTTCAGCATTCCCGAAGCAGTCTGATTCAGGGCAAAGTCTGATTGCTGCCATCCTGGTCTCAGCTTTGCAATTTTGTAACTTGGGTTTAGGTCTGAGCAAAAGTAGACTGTTTCTGGAACTTAGGCCCCAATCAACTAGCTGAAAAGTTTTGTTAGTTCAGTCACAGAACTGTAGTTATCTACTTCAGTCTGGTATTCCTGCCCTGGGTATTCCTCTGCAGGCTGGGCTAGATGCTACAACTGAGACCCTACTCTGCACCTGGACTCTGTGCTGCTGCTGTTGCTGCTGTCTTCTGAACTTCTTCCTTTCTTGGTACACTGCCCAGTGTCTCTCCACTTAGAATACCAACCTTTGCATAGATCATCTTATCAGTCCACTCTGGATCTATGCCCGGGAATGGGGCAGTGGCAACAGAGCTATCAATTCATACCTGTCTTCATCATAGTTTCCCAGATCTGGGACCTCCTTTTTTTGCTAGTGAACAGTCTTTCCTTTGGTGCTAGGGTGCTCCACATTTGGTATACTTCTGGCCCAACTCTATCCCCAGTGTCAGCAGACCTCCTTGTCTATCTATCTCCTTAGGCTGACCTGGGCTAGACAAGTGACTCACTGTACTTTCTTCTGGATGTCTCCACTAGGATTTGGTCTGGTCCATTTTCTAGATCTGTTTGGAGGAATTTTGTGGAGGGAGGCTAAGTTGTACTAATTCCTACCACTCCGCCATCTTGGCTACACCTCAATTGTAATATTTTTTCCTTTGGCCTACAAGCTCTGGACTTTGGCTATAATGTTCCTAGAAGTTTTCATTTAGGGGTTTCTCAGGACATGATCAATGGATTCTTTCTCTTTCTACTTTGCCCTCTTGTTCTAAGAAACCTGGGCAGTTTTCTTTAATGACTTCTTGAAATGTAGCATTTAGATTCTTCTTTTGGTCATGGCTTTTGGATAGTCCAGTGATTCTCAAATTATCTCTCTATCTCATATCTCTATATTATCTCTGGAGTACCTCCAGATCAGTTATTTTTGCTATGAGATACCTTTCACATTCACCTATTTTTTTCCCTGTCTTTTGACTACATCTGTAGTTATCATGAATGACTTTCCTTTCGTAATTTATTCCTGCTGGTTTTTATAAATATAAAGGCTAACAAATCTTGTGGACACTCTTGAGATTTGTGAAATGTTATCTGTGAAATAGTGAGGTATAATGGAAAGAGCACTGGGTTTAGAGTAGGACATCAGGGTTCAAATGCCAGCTTTACCTCTTACTGCTTCTATGGCTAGGGATGAATTACTTTACCTCCATGGGACAGTTTTTTCATATTAAAATGAAAAGGTTAGACCAGATGCTCTCAATACCCCTTCTACTTCTAAACCCATGAACCCAAGATCTAACACAGAAACAAATGGAGGTAAGATTCAATTTCTGACTTCAAGGAGTATAATTTCTTCTGGAGAGATAGATGTATACATAGCTAAGTAAAAAAAAAAAGACAAATTACATTAAGTAGAAGAAGGGGCACTAACAACTAAAGGAATGAAGAAAGGCTTCAGGCTTCACATAGGAGGCGGCCCCCAATATAAACTATGCAGAAGGTAGAGATGAGTGAGAGCATTCCAGACCTAGGGTATGCTTTGTACAAAGGCATGGAGGCAGGTGATGAATGTTGTAAAAGGAGAACAGCCAGTTTGGCTGGGAATAATAACCCTTATCCAATATTTGGCAAACTCTCTCTTCTACTCCAAACCCCTCTCTAGGTAAAAGTTCCTTCTCCTTTGCTGATGAGGGAAAAAGAAAAAATCTTTGTAACAAATATCTCTGATATGGGTTTTACATACAAATTATATAGAAAACTAACATAAATATAAGACCAAGAGTCATTCCCCAATAGAAAAGTGGTCAAAGGATATGAAAAAACAGTTCTCAAGAGAACTGCAAACCATTAACAGGATGTTCCAAATCACTAATAATAAGAGAAATGTAAATTAAAATAACTCTGAAGGTTTATCTAACACTCAGAAAATTGGCAAAAAAAAATTACAAATTACAAAAGATGCAAAATGTCACTGTGGGAGTGACTGTGGAAAGAAAAGCACAGTAAGACGCTGTAATAGAATTGTGAATTGGTCTAACAATTCTACAAAGCAATTTAGAATTATATTTTAAAAGTAATTAAGATCTCCATTTCCTTTGACCCTAAATTAAGGCCACTCACATAAGAAATCTGAGGATTTCTTGAGCTCAAGGAACTTGAAAATAAAGAGACTTAATCAATTTCTCTTACCCATTTCAATTCTTTTACTTGGTGGTAAATGCCTCTCCAAATGAGTGATTGTATGGTATTTGAGAGCGGGTAAGGAAACTCATGTACAAAACTTATATATCCAGAGGAGACTGTATATTTTTTCTAGACAGCTGGAAAAAAGATTGGGATACTGTAGGCCTCCAAATCTGTATCCAGATTGGTGCAATGAGAAAGTTAAGATGGATTGTGGAGTACCTGAACTACAAAAAGTACCTGAATTGATGAAAGCAATAACCATTAATATAATGATGTAATATCTGAATAAAATAAAAATTTTACTTGGCTAAATCATAAAAGTTAGCTCAGGCTGGCCTGGTTAATAAAGTCTATGAACAGGTCATTCATGACTACAGATTTATATATAGATAGATAGACAGTTTTAAGTCATATTATTCATAAGGTTTTTGCTATTTTTGTTCATAGATGGAACCCGCCACTTCTTTGGCTTTAGTTTTAGACATTTAGTACCCATTTACTTATACTTAATCTATAGTGAAATTTCTTACCCTTTAAACGATGTATGTCTGCCATCTGATATGATATGTTGTTCTGTAGTTTAACCTAAAAAGAAAAATTAAATTTTATTTTACTAAATGAAACATAGATATTCATATTTATTGTGGGCTTAATAATAAAAAACAGAGCAGAAAGTTTTGATTCTATAATTGCACAAATTTATTTTCAGTTTGCATATAAAAATATTCCTTTCCATTTGATGTACAGCATACAAAATACAGCATACAGTATTTTGAAAAAATACTGTTTGTGATGAGTTCTGCTTGATAATTTTTTAAAAGCCCAATGGCAGGTTATACTTCCCAACTGCAATTCATGATAGGAAAGATTAATTTTGATAGGCAGATGTATTACAATAAGATAGGTACAGAGATGTATTTAAGGTGCTCACATTGAAAAGCAAACTAAAGATGATATTTAATACGTAATAAAATGACACTAGATGACTTGAATATGTCCTTTTTTTGATGAACTAATTAATTTAGAAATGTAAACAAAGCTCTAGGTAAACATGATCCCAATTCATAAGTAATAATAATATATAACCCATGGCCTAGAGCCTTCTAAAATTCTAAGCTCATGACAATTTGGTATCCTTCTGGGGACCAAACCTCTAAAAGAGTAATTTTTTCTCTGGACTACTGCCCCCATTCAAAGGTATTCCAGGAAAATTTCCTAGTATACTCATGATATAACTCATTTCTGGGTTTCCCAGAACATGAATAAAAAGGGTCCATCACCAATTCCTGTATATATACATAAATATATAGATATACTTATTTGTATATATGTATGTGTGTATGTATGTAGAGAACAACTTTTATTTCATAAAAAAAGAAAAATGAAGACCCAGAAGACTAACAAAAGTCCACAGAGTTTTTAAAAACACACATAAAATGCTCAGCCCATCAGCAACCTTCTCAGAAAAGAATTGAACTTGGTGATGCCTTTGAGGTAACCCTTTGACATTCCCTAAGTCCCACAGCATCTCCTATAATACCTCCCAAAACTCCTAGTATCATCATGTGGTTTAGCTCTCCCTAAAAGGGAAACATACTTTGGAGGCTGTTGAAAGCAACCCTCTTTTCCCTGGACCTGTATTATATAAAGCCTTGCTCTCCAAGTAGGACACTGCTCAAGAACTATGGAAATGATGTTTTTCTTTCCCCAAGGAACAAGTTTCATTAGGAAAACTCTTTTTCTCCCAAATGTCTGATCCTGGAATTTCTAACCTGAGATAAGTGGGCACAAATATATATTCTTCTTCCATTTATTTCTGCAGGAAGCCTCTCAGTACCCTGGCTGCTACCATCTCTTGAGCTGGGAAAGTCTAGTCCCAAGATTTCTTCTCTTAGTTTGTGTACAAGCACATGCAAATCTATCATGTACTTCTTCAGTGGGAATCCTAGTGATGCCTCAGTCATTGTTTTCTCTTTGGCTATGAATGTCCACTTAGGAATTGTATCTCTGACTCATGCTCAGAAGCTACAAGTGAGCATATGTAACATCAGAAGTCTCCTAGGTTTTCTTGGTAAGGTGCTTGTGGGCATGCCCAGTTCCATGGAGAGATACCTCTTAGATATCTCCAAACAAAGAAAACTCCACCTAAATCTCACTGTGATAATTGAAGAGTTCATCACAAAAGAATTCCCCTGATCAATCCTCCTTACAATAACAATAGTTAATAGGTATGCAGAACTTCATAAAATGTTTTATATAAACCATCTCATTTGACCCTCACAACAACCATGAAGTATGTAGTATATTTCTCCAATTATATTTATAAGGATTAGGGTACAAAAAGGTTAATTGACTTGCACCAGGTTATATAGCTAGGAAATAGTAGAACCAGAACTTGTAACTAGAGCCTCTGAATCCAAATATAGTCTTCTTTCCACTATATTACAGCTGCTTCTCTAAAAATAATTGTCTCATTTCTTTCCTTAAATACAGATGCTCCGCAGGATAAAAGGAAACAGGATCACAGATTTAGAACTGGAAGGGACCTCAGAAATCATCTAATCCATTTTTACAGATGAGGAAGCTGAGGCCCAGGAATGTTAAATCACTTGCCCAACGTTCCATAGGAGGTAAGCAGAAGAGACAAGATTTGAACACAAGTCCTCTACCTTCAGATCCAGTGCTTTTTAGTCTTGAAAGCCCAGGGTCTAATCATAGGAAGGAGACCAATAACAAAGTATTAAACTAACTATAAAATTTCAGCCATGAAGGTGAAGCCACTCACCCTCAAATAACACCTCTTGCTATTTCAAGAAATGAAAAAGGTAACTTTATTTTCTGAAACAGACTCTCCTTAACAGATTAAGTAAGGAGGTAATGGTAAAAAATATTTTATGTCTGTATCATATCTACTTCACTCAAATATTTACTGAGCACCTACTATGTACAAGGTAATATGGCAGAGCAAAAGATGAATAAGTCACAGTCCCTGTATTCAAGGAATGAGTTGACAATGTTTACAATCTAGTAGGAGAAAAGTACCTCTACACATAATTACAATACTGGCAATATGTGATAAGTATCATGGGCATTACCAAAAAAGTTAAGATAATACTTTTAGGCGTGCTGATCAGCCTAACTTTGGGGGGAACTGACATTTTAGTTGAGACATGAATGGGCAAGATTTCAATAAGTGCACATGTGGGAGTGAAGGAGAGAAGTTCACATTCCAAACAGATGAGCGGTATGAGTAAAGCCAGAAGAATTCAATGTATGAATGTCATAAAGAAGATGGCAATTTGACTAAAATAGAGGGTAGCTATAGGGAAATAGTGGAAGATAAAGCTGGAAAGTTAGGCTGGAGCCAGACTACATAGGACTCTGAATGATGGATAAGGATCTGGATGCTTTTCTGTGGGGTAATGAAAGTTTCTGAGTAGGAGAGTGTGAAGCAGTATCTTGGGTAAGTTAATCTGGTGGTAGTATACTATATGTATATCTGACCAGTCTCATTTGCTCTTCACACTCTTTCAATTATAAAGGGCATTTACATGTTACACATTGATTCTTTCCCCCAACATTGTTTTCAAAAACTCTGCATACCAGTTACTTATAAACTCAATACATTAAAAATACTAGTTTTCCTTTTAAACGTTTCATCCTCTTTTATATGACATTTTACTCTTCTGACAAATTCTTTTACGTGTGTGTGTGTATGTGTGTGTATGTTTAAGCATTTCTGTTACCCAAGAGTCTTTATTTAGAATACAGATTCTCTAATCTTTTTTCCCTTTTCTTTTAATAAAATTCTATCAGCTCTGTCTCTTTAACTGTAGCTTGCCTCCTCTATTCTTCCAATTGTCTGATTTCAAAAATGTTTTACTTAGGTGAATTCCAAGACTAAATGTTGCTGTATTTCCTCCTTCCAATATCCTTTTCTTGAACATGTATTGTCTGTTCTACCTCTTTGAATAGGAATTTGTTATGTATACACTTCATGCATTTCTGCTTTGTCCTACTTCTGTTTCATGCTGCCTACTGATGTTTTCATCCTCAAATGTGTTAATTTCCATTTTATAAATAACTCTCCCATAACATTTCTTTTTAAACTATTTTTCTTGTTTTCCCTTTTTGTATGCTTGGGTTTGATACTCTACTCTGTTGTTTTCTTCATAGGTTAATTTTTGGTACTTTCTACTCAATGCCTTTTTCTCAAGACACAGTTGAAATCCCCTTTAATGATATCTTTCTTATCAGATACAGAAAAGGCACTATATCCTTAAAGGATTTTTTTACTTTCAAATTTCTTTTAGGGAATACACACATTTTCAAATCTGATCTCCCCAATTCACAACCATAATTATAACTCTTCCAAATCTGATGACATACTTTGAACATCTATAATATGTATTAGAAGTCTCACTCCGAGTTCTGAAAAGATAGCTACACTAATGCATTTTTGGTGGAGCTGTAAAGTGGTCCAAGTGTTCTGGAAAGTAATTTCAAATTATACAAAAAGAGTGATTTAAACATCTAAACCCTCTGACCCAGAGATTCCACAGCAGGCATATACTCCAAGAAGGTCAATGACAAAAAGAATGATATCATATAAACCAAAATGTTTATAACAGCACTTTTTGCCCAACAAAGTAAATGCCCATCAATTAGGGAATAGCTGAATAAGTTGTGGTATATGAATGTAATGGAATACTATTGTGGTATTTCAAAGAAATTTCAAGATATGATGAAGCATGAGAAGACATATTAAGTGATTCAGAGTACAAAAAGCAGAATCAGGAAACAATAGACATAACTATACAATGTAAATGGAAAGACCACAATAAAACAATCAAAACTAAATGCTGTGAAATGACAATAACCAGGTGTGGCCTGAAGAGGAGATATTAAAAGACAACTCCTCTCCCCCACCTTTGCAGAGGTGAAGGACTATAGGCATGGAACACTATGTAATGTTAAATATTTTTGACAAATTGGTTAGTTTTGACAAAGTGTTTTTCCCCTTCTCTTTTACTCTATGTTATAATGAATTGCTCTGGAAAAGGGAGGAGGAAATATTCATTAGGAAATGTAGATGACATAAAAACAAAAGATAGCAATGAAATTATTTTTTAAAAAATCCCACCCCATAGGAGATGGAATACTAAACTTCTTTTGAGAGCACTTTGCTAGGTCCTTCATGTGAGAAACTGCATTCTTCTTCAGTCCTTCTTATATTAAAATTATAGTTTTACTTATCTCTCACAGCCCCATAGGCTACACTTCTCACTTTCTTTATCTCATGCTATTTCTAAGATTTGTAAGACATGTTCCTTCTTTAAGCTTTAAAATTCTAATTAGCCCTTCAAGGTTTCCTTTGAACTCCCTTTTTCCCCTCCTACTCCCTTCAGCCTTGTCTCTTTCTACCTCTTTACTATTTTTATTATTTACTACTTACTTTACTATTTACTGCTAGATTCTATGTTACCTTCTTCCTACTTCTTCGGGGCCGTGGTTTCTATACGCAATGAACTAGTTATTCTTGTTCTTTTTGTTCTTTCCTTCCATTCATTTCTTCAGGATGGTTT